TTGGTATTGTATTTGGTTATGTGAGCTTAGATGACAAATAACCATAGTATTCCATATTGGCACATTGTAATTGACGAGTATACTATCGTGAGGCACCCCGTATTTCAATTTAAGTGTCCTCGTTCCCGGGGGGAGGGGTGGATAGTTTCTTAAATCAAATACGTTGTTGTATCAATGTTTTGTCCCAGGGCAAATGATTGTACTTCTGGTGTGTTGTTATTGATTAATTTCATGTTAAAACAGCCGTAGATCCTTGGGTCTTAGTCCTTTGGAACAGCTTGAGGCGGAGAGGAAGGAACGCGAAAGTAAAATAAGTAAAAGCGAATCTGAAATGGAACAAGTGTTTGAGACAAAGGTGAAAGAAAAACGAAAAAAGCTAAAAGAAATGGAAGCAGAGGTTCGTGCTGAAAAATGGAAATTATATCTTACACTTGCAGTACCTCATGAAGAAGTGTAATTTCGTCGGGGGAGGAAAGCAATAGAAATTTCAGGAAATTTATGTTCCTGCATGAAGTAATCCTAAATCCCGTGAAAGCTTAGTTAGTCCGGAGAAGTCCAAATCATCTTGGTTCCCAATCTATTTTTTCTTTCTGAAATACTTGCGACTTTCCATTATTCTTGATATTTACTTAACATTATCTCCTTTATTAACTAGTTTACTAAAAGACACGAACAAAGTCGCTTGTCGAATGAAGTACTACAAAAAGAAATCAACGAGAAAAGACTGAGATTCGAAAAAGACAAAGAAAATTTTCAACGTAATCAAAATGCCGTTTTTCTTGATGGACACAACGGACATAATTCGCATGGCAGGTAAGGGTCACTTGGTATCATTAGGTACATATGTGGGTAATTGATGGATCATGCCTTAGTCTTTATGAAGCAGTTCCAAGTTAGGGCGCCACTAATGGTTAAAACATCACTACTGGTTGGTAATGCTTATGTATTAGAGGAGCAGAGCTTTAGGAAGTGAAATCATTCCTTGAAGTCCTCTCTGTTGTCTTCAATGTAATACATCATTCCTTGAAATCCTCTTCATGTTGTCTTTAATGTATTATATCATTCCTTGAAGTCCTCTCTATATTGTCTTTCATGTAATACATCCTTCCTTGAAGTCCTCTCTATGTCGTCTTCAATGTAATACATCATTCCTTGAAATCCTCTCTATGTTGTCTTCAATGTAATACATCATTCCTTGAAGTTCTCTCTATGTTGTCTTTAATGTAATACATCCTTCCTTGAAGTCCTCTCTATGTCGTCTTCAATGTAATACATCCTTCCTTGAAGTCCTCTCTATGTCGTCTTCAATGTAATACATCATTCCTTGAAATCCTCTCTATGTTGTCTTCAATGTAATACATCATTCCATGAAGTTCTCACATAAACTAAGTTATGCACAGATAAGCTACGAGGAGTTTGGCAATTTCGACTTAGCCGTTATTAAAATTAACAGTCTGTCGCAGTTTTCAAAAGATTGTAAATTTAGAATCAGCAAGGTAGAGATCGATCCCAACTCGGAGTTAGTCACGCTTACCGTCTTTGTGAGCACTTGCAAGCGGTTCCTAAATTCTTACTTTTTGGCGATTTTAATGTGACAAAATTGTGTTTTTTTTTAAAGGAAAATAACAGCGTTTTTCTTTGGTGTAAAGCCCAACACGCAAGAAGCATCGGAGGAAAAACGAAGGCTTCTAAATTAGCTAAAATCTTTGACTTACTTTTTAACGCCATCTTCACGTACAACTTCCTCATCACAATCAAATTTAACGACATCACTTTCTTAAATGGTCGTGTAGCTTGGAAATATCTCAACGCGCTCGTAAAAAAACAGATATGTTAAAATATGTTTATATCAAATCTGCGCAGTTATTCAATGATGCCTTATTCATGCATTTCACCACATCAAAAAAGAACAAACGTTTTTTTGTTAACTTACAAAATACTCCATCAGTTTGCCTTTTTTACTAAAAGTCGCTGTCTTTTTTAACGTTGAAATACGCAAACACGAACATTCAACATGAAGTACGCCATTCAGAGACCGTTCATCTTGCATGTTTTGTAGAGTTTGAATGAACATTGTTGTATTGCTATTTAAAGAAAACTAAACAATGTAAAAACACTAACAGTCCAAGAACAAATCTGTTTGTGAATTGTGATGAGTAGTTTTTTGTCGTCAGTAATTTCAAATATTTTCATTCTAAGAGTTATTTTTTCTGGGTAGTACAATTTATATATTATTTAGAAGATAAACTGCGTAAAAGACGTACGATAAATCACTGCAGTGAGAAATTCTCTTCTGAAGTTTCATCTTAGAATTTATATATTTCATCTTCCGCCGCGACGCCATTTAATATTTGTCATTTGTCAATTGTCATTGTCATCCACTGTTATCCACTAACATTCGCTGCAATCCACTGTCATGTACGTTATCCACTACCATTCACTTTCATCCACAATAATCCACCATAACCCATTGTCACCCACCGACTGCGCCTCCTTTTGATAGATGTTAATTTGTGTATTCCTACTTTATCAAAGACAAGAAAACCTTTTATTGTAACTAACTTCACAATAAAAAAATTACTGCTTCCTTTAAATTTGAATTATTTCACAAAAATATTTCACCAAAAAACGTTCTACTCAATTTCTACTAAAGTGAAACGATCTCAAAAGTGAAAAGTGAAAACGTGAGCCCGTCATTTTGTGGGTCATATAAATTCCTTTGCACTACGTCATTTAACATTTACGTGTCAGTCACTAGAAATAAACAGATGTTTGAAGATGATCCAGTCGTATTTCTCAACAAGTTGTTTTTAAATCGTTTTGAATAATTCCTTGAAAAAATCCTTACACTTTGTATTGAGATGACGAGATAATTATTACACAAGCAGAATCAATAATTTACTTGATCAATAATTAATAAAGATCACTCCTATTTATATATAAAATGCGCTTTAAGCCGTTCTCGATGACATAGCGTAAAATGTTACATCACGAAATAATATACACAAACACCGTCTTATTATCAACAAATTTGAAAGTTTGTGTATGGAAATAATCCAGTGAAATCGAGAAAGGAAGTTGACAGCGTGAGGTCGCAACCGGAAATAGCTCAGCGGAAACTGAAGTTTTAGTCGAACTAAAGACAGTTCGAACATCGTTCGCCCAAAAAGATCAACTCTTGAAAAATCTTTGTTTTAAAGATATGAATTCGTGATCACCGTTTTGAAATAATATGGGTAAGTAGGAAATATGAGTGTAGAGAAGATTAGATGTGAACAGTAAGCATTGAGGGGCAATAAAAGAGAAACGTTGTCAATCCTAATTTACTGAAGGGGTAAAAAAGTTTATAAATATTCCATGTGCTTTAACGTATTATTCGCTTTTGTTTTAACTCGAATCGACGTAGTTGAAGCATTGTTCAATTTCTGATGATGTATATCTTTTTTATTTCTATGTGTCATTTGTCTTTGGTTCTAATCTTATACAGAAGCGGTAAGAAGGCGTTGTATTTAATATCTATCACTAGAATTATAGTATTTAACATCAATTTGTTCGATATGCGATTGTAAACAAAATCTCTATCTTTTTCTTCGTATTGTAGACGGCGAAAAAACTCGATAGTTACGTTGGATTCGCTAATCTTCCGAATCAAATATTTCGAAAGAGCGTTAAGAAAGGCTTTGAGTTCAGTTTGATGGTCGTCGGTATGTGTTTGTTTACGTGCCTCGAGAGGCTTCTCGTGCTAACGATACTTCTCAGCATCGTTTACTGCCTGTTATCATTTAGTGTAAAATTATCTGCGCGATCTGTGTTGTAAATAGTACGAGACCGTCTACTGAGGCACCGAGTTTAAATATAGAATGACATTTCGCTTTCCACAGTAGGAAGGGCGAATTTTTAAAACGCAGGAACCGTGCTATGATATTTGCTTACTCGTGAATCATGCCCTTCTGGTTGTTCTAGAAATGCTCGAATTGCTGAAGTCTTAAGTCTGCATTTGAAGCAACCCCACACAAGCATATTGTCCTTAATCGTTTCTTTATTAAAGACAAATATACAAAGCATTGAAAACGAACCAACATTTCCGTGGTCGATGTCTTTGTGTCAATATTCCCACAAAACCGACCCGACGGACGGTGTTAAATAAATATTTACGATATTCATGAAGTAGGCTGTTTTCCTGTCTGTATGGAGGAAGAACTATTCATTAGAAAGATTTGCTATGCTTTTATAATGGAAATTCAATCAAAATTGTTCTAATTACATTATAAATAGTTCTGTGAATTTTTCCTTTTAAGACACCTCCTAAACAAGCCTGTACGTCGGTGATATGGGAACCAATTTAGCAAAGAAAATTGGCCATTATTTAGCGTGAAAATCGCTCGTGCACTTTGACAAGAGTGCTTAGAAGAGTTTTAGGCAGGCATATTTAAATATATAAAGCTTTGTGTGTTTTTCTTTGTAATGACATGCGGGTGAAGAAAATTGCTACTCATTTAACAACGTACCTTTAAAGTTCACGCTAACAATGTTTCAAGAATTGAATTATTATGTTGTTATTGTTGTAAGGTTTACTTAAAAAGCCCTAGACTTGATACAAAGTCGGGCACTGTTTTGAATTTTTTCCATATTATAAGTTCGGCTTTTGTAATACTCCGTTACTTGTCAATGTCAACAAGAAAACAGATATATCATATAACTGTGGAATTGCGTTTCGATAAACGGTTTGCCGTCCTTGCCTTCGAAATTACTTTTTGTTTTACTGAGACTTTCGACTCTATAGATAAAGTTGAGACCACCTACAGTTAAGTATTTATCTCAATATTTCCATTGCTTGGAACTATTGATGCTTTTCAACGAAGAATATAAACTTTATAGCGAAATTTTTATTGAACATAAGTAAACGCGTTCTCAATGCGGCTCAGTTCCTGCCATTCAATTCACTTCTTTAGGTGTTGGATCTATAATAATAGCAATGATTCAATATTTCAACAGGTTTTAACTAAATCGCGCCGTATATAATATTTTCTGTCTAATCGTTTGTTAACGGAGAGTGTTGGATTTTGTGGCATTCGAAGAATTTTTTAATGAAATACAGTATATTAAAGCCATTGTTTCAACTTTGATAAATTACCCATAAAGAGCCACTTTGCCAGTGGTTTAATTAGCATTATCACCCCCATATCATGGTCTTATCAGTGAAACTACATAATTCTGATGACAATGATTGTGTTTTCAAGAGTCATTACTGTCAAGTGTACACATACACCATAATAATAAATTTTGCTTTATTATTTAATAAATTTGTATTGCTCACAAAAAATTTCCCTGACATAAAGTGTTCTTTGCTTATTTCGTGATTGCTTATTGCCTGACATAAAGTTTCTTTATTAGGTGAATCAGGACTGGGAAAATCTACACTTCTGAATTCTCTGTTTTAACGGATCTTTATACGCTGCTACATTTCCCAGTACTGAGGAAAAATTAGCACAAACACTCGAGGTACAGTTTCATTTGTTATCGGTTATCTCACTGCCTTTACTTGCTTCCAGCAAAAATTACAGATCTTCAAAGTAAATGTCCTGAAATATAGATAACAGGACCTATCCTGCAGGATAGCTACAATTTTGACGAGAGGAACAGCTTGAGAACTGACTGAGTAAATAAGCAGTGCTACACCTACTAAATTGTTATTTTATTTATTTATTGAACTTAATAAAGTAAATGGTTTGAACCCGGGAATATCGTTACATGTTTGTAAATGTAGATCGTCCAGGTTGGTATAGTCCTGAGAACGACTGTTTTTGATGATTACAAACATGTTAATGAACTTAACCTATGTAAACTTTTATTCAAAAAAATGTAGCAAACGTATTGTTTCTGTATCTTAGGTGCAAGCTTCAACAGTTATTTTAAAAGAGGGTGGTGTAAACTTACGGTTAACCTGTATTGATACACCTGGATTTGGCGATGCCATTGATAACACAGACTGGTAGGTATTAAAGAGTGTTTTTAAAGTTGTTCAACATAACTGCATCAACATCCATAGCACAAGAAGGCTTGCAAGATATTTCCAAAGTTTTATGTGATGTATTTAAAGGAAATCATACAATCTTCCTTGATCAAACTCTCATCACTTCTCACTTGCTATGATTCCTTTCCTCTAAAAAACATGTAAACAACTTTCATATTTTCTATTTTTTAGTTGGAAGCCTATAATTTCTTTCATCGAATCGAAATTTGAAGAATATTTAAATGAAGAATCAAGGGTGAACAGAACAGCACTTGTGGATAGCCGCGTACATTGTTGTCTGTATTTCATTGCACCAAATGGCCATTCGTAAGTGATGAACTTTCCTTATAGAGCTTTGACCTTGACTTCTCTTTTACAAAAAGTACAGTAGGGTCTTTACTTGCTTATCAGAAAGCCTTGAAACCACAGTACAGAAGTTCACCCTTTGTCAAAATCATTTATAGTACTTTATGCTGATGTAATTTATCATATATTACAGCTTAAAACCGCTGGACATAGAATTTATGAAACGGCTGCACGATAAGGTAAATTACGATCAATGAAAAGATTAATCATGCTTCAAAACCTAACACTGCCAGTTTTTTGTCAGCTCTTACGGTTAATTTAACGGGGGTTTTTTGAGTTCATGTCCGTAGCTATGTTTTTTCCGTCAGCAATAGTGCATTGCATTTGTGGGTTAGCAATTTATTGACATGATGGACAAGCGATAAATGAACGGAAATGTCCGTAGGTTACTATCACACAACTTGTCGTCAATCATCACAATAAATGACAAACAATGTCCATTATACATTAGTGAAAGCAAAAATATCAAGTTCCGATAATTTTCATTACTTTCTTAGGTAAACATCGTTCCAATAATTGCTAAGGCAGACAGTTTAACCGCGGAGGAATGTCAAAACTTTAAAAAAAAAGTAAGTGGAGACCAGCGGAACGAAAATTTTATTGCAATCCCTCAGCGTGCATAAGCTGATTTTCGTCGTCATCTTAGATACTGAATGAAATTGGCTCGAACAAGATTGGCATCTACCAGTTTCCCGAACTTGGCGTTGATGACGAAGACTTAAAAGATGTCAGTATGACTGTAAGTGTAACGGACGCAGTACATCTTGAAGCCTTAAAAGAAGGCATAATTGTTTGAACAATGTACGCTTCGGCAACCATTTACAGTCATTTATTTTCCAACATTAGGATCGAATACCATTTGCGGTTGTCGGTAGCAATACAGTTGTCGAGGTAGGAGGAAAGAAACTACGGGCCAGAGTCTATCCTTGGGGTGTAGCTGAAGGTACGTGTTTTGTTCAACTTTGAGTCCTAAATCGGTGTTTGCCTCAAAAAGAAGCAGTGATAAAGATAAGGAGTACATGTATGTAGATGTATAAATCATCAAGGTTAGGGTCGTACTCTGGAGGACTGTTGGCGTTAGTGTTGACTGACGTTTTCACCCTCTGTTAAAGATGAGTACCTCTAAGTACCACTAAGTACTTTGACATCCTTGATTCTGAAGATGAGTACCACTAAGGACCATTACTAAGTACTTTGACATCCTTGACTCTGAAAATGAGTACCTCTAAGGACCATTACTAAGTACTTTGACATCCTTGATTCTGAAAATGAGTACCTCTAAGGACCATTACTAAGTACTTGTCCTTGATTCTGAAGATGACTACCACTAAGGACCACTATAAGTACTTTGACATCCTTGATTCTAGAAGACTATCCAGTTAATTTAAGATCACTTGCGCTTTGAGTAATTTTAAGTTTTGTCGATACTTAACCTTTAACGTTCACTTCTTCTTAAGCTTCCACAAAGTTATAAGTTGTGCTATGTTTTCTTTTTCAGTTGAGAATTCGGATCACTGTGATTTTATCGCTCTTCGTAACATGCTTATAAGGTAAGATGTTGTAATCTTGAAGTACCTTGTAGTTTGTATATTGAAATGAAGTACTTTGTTGATTTCCAAGAATTGAAGCAGAAGTTTAAATCATCTTTTAATTTAGGACTCACATGCAGGACCTGAAAGATGTGACGAACGATGTGCATTACGAAAATTTCCGCTGTAAACGTCTTGCTACGGTGACCGTGGGCTCACCCACCGTCACAAGGTACATTTGTTGGAATTATTTTTGGTTATCTGAGCTTAGATGACAAATAACCATAGTATTCCATGTTGGCACATTGTAATTGACGAGTATACTATCGTGAGGCACCCCGTATTTCAATTTAAGTGTCCTCGTTCCCGGGGGGAGGGGTGGATAGTTTCTTAAATCAAATACGTTGTTGTATCAATGTTTTGTCCCAGGGCAAATGATTGTACTTCTGGTGTGTTGTTATTGATTAATTTCATGTTAAAACAGCCGTAGATCCTTGGGTCTTAGTCCTTTGGAACAGCTTGAGGCGGAGAGGAAGGAACGCGAAAGTAAAATAAGTAAAACCGAATCTGAAATGGAACAAGTGTTCGAGACAAAAGTGAAAGAAAAACGAAAAAAGCTAAAAGAAATGGAAGCAGAGGTTGGTGTTGAAAAATGGAAATTATATCTTACACTTGCAGTACCTCATGAAGAAGTGTAATTACGTCGGGGGAAGAAAGCAATAGAAATTTAGGAAATATAGGTTCCTGCATGAAGTAATCCTAAGTCCCGTGAAAGCTTAGTTAATCCGGAGAAGTCGAAGTAATCTTGGTTCCCAATCTATTTTTTCTTTCTGAAATACTTGCGACTTTCCATTATTCTTGATATTTACTTAACATTATCTCCTTTATTAACTAGTTTACTAAAAAACACGAACAAAGTCGCTTGTCGAATGAAGTACTACAAAAAGAAATCAACGAGAAAAGACTGAGATTCGAAAAAGACAAAGAAAATTTTCAACATAATCAAAATGCCGTTTTTCTCGATGGACACAACGGACATAATTCGCATGGCAGGTAAGGGTCACTTGGTATCATTGAGGTACATCTGTGGGTAATTGATGGATCATGCCTTAGTCTATAAGAAGCAGTTCCAAGTTAGGGCGCCACTATTGGTTAAAACATCACTACTGGTTAGTAATGCTTATGTAGAGGAGCAGAGCTTCAGGAAGTGAAATCATTCCTTGAAGTCCTCTCTATGTTGTCTTTAATGTAATACATCATTCCAGTCCTCTCTATGTTGTCTTCAATGTAATACATCATTCCTTGAAGTCCTCTCTATGTTGTCTTCAATGTAATACATCATTCCTTTAAGTCCTCTCAATGTTGTCTTCAATGTAATACATCATTCCTTGAAATCCTCTATGTTGTCTAATGTAATACATCATTCCTTAAAGTCTCTATGTTGTCTTTAATGTAATACATAATTCCTTGAAGTTCTCTATGGTATTCTTCAATGTAATGCACAATTCCTTGAAGTTCTCTATGTTCTTCAATGCAATGCATAATTCCTGAAGTTCTCTATGTTGTCTTCAATGTATACATCATTCCTTTAAGTCCTCTCAATGTTGTCTTCAATGTAATACATCATTCCTTGAGTCCTCTATGTTGTCTTCAATGTAATACATCATTCCTGAAGTCCTCTCTATGTTGTCTATTATACATCATTCCTTTAAGTCCTCTCAATGTTGTCTTCAATGTAATACATCATTCCTTGAAATCCTCTCTATTTGTCTTTAATGTAATATCATTCCTTGATTCTCTCTATGGTGTTTGTGTTGTACATCATTCCTTTAAATCTCTATGTTGTCTTTAATGTAATACATCATTCCTGAAGCTCTCACATAAACTAAGTTATGCACAGATAAGCTACGAAGAGTTTGGCAATTTCGACTTGGCCGTTAATAAAATTAATTTTGAACTAATTAATAAATTCTCTTGAACAGGAGCATCGACGGTCATGGAAAGGTGGACAAGAAGAAAAAAAAGGGCCTTTTTTAATACTTTGTTAACATAAACATTAAAAATG